AGATACTATGTTAAAAAAAAACAAAAAACAAAAAAAACAACAACCTTTATTCAACAAATAGATCAAATATCATCTTTGCCCTCTCTCTTGCTCTAACTTTCTGTATGAGTTAGAGCTATCTCACCTGCATTATTTAAATGTCTGTTTCATGTGACCCCAGCATTCATTGAAGGAAGTAAAGTGGCAATCAAACAGGTGGCTTTTAGGTTTCGAAGTTATGTTGAGATAATTCATGTAGTCTGGGAAAATTATAGTGAAAAATAATTGCTTCCTACTTCTATGATCCCTACAGAATAGCTAGCTACGTAAAAGGTCTGAGGAAGTGGTTATCATTAAATCATTTGATAGAGAGGATTCCTCCATCCTCCCTTTCCCTGGGCTGCCATGTGAGGGATGGAGACCATGACAGCTGGTGAATACAAGTCATGTCCTCACCTGTGCAGCATATCAAAAGGGCCTAAGGGGTTTGCAGACTTGAGGATGTTTCACTCATCATGGGAGAGAAGGATCTGATCACCCCTGGTCGGTGCAGAGTGGAATGCCATAGACCTCTTGATACTCCTATAAGGATCTGGCCCATCCATTTTTCTCCATGCAGTGTAAGGAGAAAGCAGTGTATATCTGGGTGTCCTTGAAATATCTTCCAGCACACTGCACAACCACGGTGTTACTGCAAGCCAGGAATTACATGACCTCTGCATATCTCAGGGAAACATTTGATACTGCCCACATAACCTCATTGGCATGGATAGCACTGCCAATGAGCAGCCAAAGTAGAATTCCAGCTCCTCACATAGGAGCAGTGCAGCAAGTTGGAGACCTGAGAAAGGTACTGCACTGCTTTTCAAGCCTTCTACACCCTCCTTGATTCTGTCTTGGGGAAACTGGATACTAGAGAAATTTTTTTCTCAGGAAAAGTGGTAGAGCACTGGAACAGGCTGCCCAGTGAGGTGGTGGAGTCACTGTCTCTGGAAGTGTTCAAGAAACGTGTGGAAATGGCACCGAGGGACATGGTTTAGTGGCTATAGTGAAGAAGTGTTGATGATTGGACTAGATGATCTTAGAGATCTTTTCCAACCTTAATGATTCTATGAATCTGTGAACCATTTGGTATGTAGCTGTCTGCAGGGAAGACCCTGAAGATGAGCTGAGCCAGTCACAGAGGTTGGGCAGCACTCCTCACAGCCTGTGGGCTTCTCTCAAGCTAAGGAAGGCCTCTCTGGACTAAGAAAGTCTAAATCAAATGTTTACACAGTAAATACTTGTTTGCTCTGGGCTGCCCCAGTTGGAGCAGTAGTGAATTCCTGAGACTGGGCTTGACCTTCCTTGGAAACAAGCATGCTCAATGCCTTTGTGAAGCCAAGATCTCTGTATGCAGACTAGCTTTATTATATATTTCTTTCCAAAATGTGGTCTTTTTTTTTTTTTTTTATAATATGCAAAACACATGCCATATCACAAATGATGGGATAGATTAAACAGCTGGTAAGGAAGTCCCCTCTCAAGGACCATTTTAAGAATAGTACTTAAATAGCATAAAGGCCATTGACCAACAAAAGACTTTTTGAGCTCAAGAGCCTTTTTATGACTCCCTGTTCACCACAGTATTGAACAGTAGTGAGGAACTGAAAAATATTTGAATGCTATAGTGAACACTTATTTCTGTCTTCCATTACAGATGATAGGTAGACATCAGATGTAATGATAAGGAAACATCAGAGTTGGGGGAATTAAAGGATTAGTGCTTGCTTTGTCCTGAACCCCTGTGAAAAACTTCTTTTAGCATTTATTATTTGTCTTGCAATACCTAGATTAGACTACATTAAGCACTGGTAAAAATAAAGAATAGCTCTGAGTGTATGAGGTTCACATCTGGAAATAAGTAAAACTGAGTACAGGTCACATGCAGGCACTCTGACATCTCTTTCCAGAGTGAGGTTTTGGTCCTGATCTATCTACATTCAGATCTTGCTCCATTCTGGGGCTTGATTCTGAAAAGTGGACCTCAGAAGTGCTGTTGTGGAGGGTGCATTAGAAACGAAATACAACGAAACCAGTCTTGTAGAAACAAAGGAGGTAGCATTTCATGGGAGATGTATGCACTAATAATAGGACATAATATATAGTGCCCCCAACTTTGTTAAACTCCCGGATCAGTTTTGAGTGCTGTATGATGGAAAGCATGGCAGAGGGAACCCATACCAGAGTACAGTCCCATGTCTTGGTTGTTGGTTCATATGCTTATGGATAGTAATTAGAGGGAAGCAAATTTCTTTAAAAATGTTCAAATGAAACAAACCAGCTGTTGATGTGTGCTAGAAATACTTGTGTGCATTCCTTATTAACATAGCACCATGAGATGCTGGGTCATGTGTGTGGTGCGAAGGACTGAGGGTCATGTAAATAAAAGACTGGTAACATTCAAAATATCTCTTCTCAGTGTGCTAAGGAAGCATTACTTAAGGAATAAATCACTTCAAAAGCTATCAAAATTTGCAAGCTGACGCATTGAGCAGCTATGTTTTTCCTTAAGAAAGAGATTTGACTTTCCTTAAGTAAGTCAAGATCAATTACACTTTGGATCACATCACTTTGGATTGCACTTTCCACATTTATCAAATATGAAGATCGTCTTTAAAATGAGATCTGAGCTAAGGATTGGGGGAAGAAAAATAGCAAGCAGCAAATTGCAGTGTGTCTGTAGCCTAGTGACGTGTATCCTGTGATGCAATAAGACTGCATCATAGAAGGAAAAGTAATTCAGAGTGGGATGGAACTGGAGGGGTGAGAGTAGCAGTAGTAACTCCTCAAGGAGAAATTCAGCTGGTTTAAAAATAATAGTTGCCAGGCAAGACAGAAAGTCTTGGAGACAAGCAGGTGGCTGCAGCAGATTCTTGTTCGAAACGCTAAGGTGAAGGCAAATTACCGTATTCTTCCAGTCTTTCTGTTTCCTTAGATTCAGAAGAAGCCTGATAAACATGTGGAAATCTCTTGTCTTCCCACTGAGTATCCTCTTTCATGGAAAAATGAAGTTGATATGCAAAGTGAACTACTGCCTCTTCTCTGAGTAGGGCATTGATGCTCCCTTTGCTCCCGCAGTTCAGGAGGTTACTCAGAGGTCAGATACTCTTATAAAGTAATTTGATGCCTATCATAAAACATGATGCTCCTCTCAGTTTCTTCAGAGCTCTGAAACATTCCTTCTGCTTCTCCACTAATGCTTGCAGCCAGTTACCTCTGGTGAGGAAGGAAGGGATCAATTCTCAAAGTAACCAGATTATGTCAGAGATGGGAATAGGCAGAAGTAGACAAACAACAGCCAGAATGATCCATCAGTCATTCCCAAGGGGCTCTTCACAAATAGCTTTGATGTACTCTCAGTGCTGAAATTTATGGGCATTGTTAACAAACAAAGCTCAAGGCATTGCTAGAGGAATGAAGTGTTTTCAGTTACTGTACACTACAGGCAAGCCAACAAGCAAGCCATCAAAGCTTTTGCAGACAATTAGTTTTAAACAAACTGAGTGTAGACTTTTGAGACAAAAGTACTTCTGTTATTTGATAGGGAAAGATTAATCATACCAAAGGTTTGATGGTTGCAGTGCACAAATCTCCACCTGAGCTTCTCATCGTGAGCTCCTGATAGTGTCAATGAAAGAAAAAATGCACAATTTAAAATATGATGTATATACTGGATTTTAGATGTAGACTTTAGAGTGACATAATAGCAGACGAGGTGGCCGAGTGGTTAAGGCGATGGACTGCTAATCCATTGTGCTCTGCACGCGTGGGTTCGAATCCCATCCTCGTCGGCAGGCAAATCTTTATGAAACTGAATGTGTACAAGTCTATGGGGCCTGACGACATGCATCCCAGGGTTGTGCAGGCTGATGTGGTTGCCAAGACACTCTGCATCACATCTGAAAAGTCATGGCTGTCAGGTGAAGTCCCCAAAAACTGGAAAAAGGGAAACATTACTCCCATTTTTAAGAGGGATAGAAAGGAAGACCTGGGGAAATAGAAGCTGATGAGCCTCACCTCTGCATGACAGAATGAGTAGACAAAGGAACAGCAACTGATGTCATCTACCTGGAATTCCGCAAGGCCTTTGACGTAGTCCCGCATGATATTCTTATCTGTGTATTGGAGAGATATGGATTTGGAGGCTGGACTATTCAGTGGAAAAGGAACTGGTTGGATGATTGCAGCCAGAGGGTTGTGGTCAACAGGTGGAGGCTGGTGACAAATGGTGTTTCCAGGGTCCATCATGGAACTAATGCTCTTCTACATCTTTATGAACAACCGAGGCAGTGGGATTGAGTGCACCCTCAGCATGTTTGTGGACAACAGCAAGCAGAGTGGTACAGCTAGTGCAACAGAACTTCGTAAGGAATGTCATCCAAACAGACCCGTCACCCAAGTGCAAGGTTTTGCACGGGGGCAATCTCTGATATGAGTACAGTCTGGGAGAAGAACACACTGAGAGCAGCACTGCAGAGAAGGATCTGGAGGTCCTAGTGGATGGAAAGCTGGATATGAGTGTGCCCTTGCAGCCTGGAAGGCCAACAGTATCCTGGACTGCTTCAAAAGAAGGGTGGCCAGTAGTGTGAGATTGTCCCCCGTTGCTCTGCCCTTGTGAGACCCCACCTGCAGGCCTGGGACCCCAGCACGAGCTGTTGGAGTGGGTCCAGAGGAGGGACACAAAGATGATTAGGAGAGCTGGAGCTCATCTCCTACGAAGAAAGATTGGGTGAGTTGGGCTAATTCAGATTGGAGAAGGAAATCCATGTGGAAATCTGCTTATAGCCTTTCAGCATCTAAAGGGAGCTTAAGAAGATGGAACACAAAATTTTACATGATCTGATCTTGATAGGACAAGAGGAAATTGTTTTAAATTAAAAGAGGAGAAATTTAGGTTAGATGTAAGGAGGAAATTCTTTACTCAGAGGGCTGTGATGCATTGGCACAGAGTGCCCAGAGAAGCTGTGGATGCCCCAACCCTGGAGGCAGTCAAGGCCAGATTGGATGGGGCCCTGTGAAGCCTGTTCTGTTGGAGGGCTGCCTTGCCAATGGCAGATAGGGTGGAAGTGAGTGGTTTTTAAGGTCACTTCCAACCCAAGACATTCCATGATTCCGTGATTCCATATTCTATGATTCTATGATAGTGGACACCCTGATATGCCAAATTGTCATCACTGTTGAGGTAAGCCAGATGGGAGTCTCTGACATACTCTTCTCTATCTTTGATCACATGAATCCCAACAAAGTAGTAGTTCATCCTAAGAATGCTTGGCCTATGTGAATTTCCAGTACTTCTCAGTGATTATAAATCCTCTGCCCCAGGGGATCCTGGTTTATTTCAACCTACAGGGTTTGACAGTCATGTCGAAGTATCTCATTGATCTTTTTGACCTAATAATTCGTGACCTTTGTCTTGGCAGTCCCAGGCAGAGCAAAGCCTGGTTGGAGTTTTATGTCTATTGGCCCTTTGAGAGAGTGTCTTCTGAAAGCAGATTTCTGTTTTGGACTTCTGTTTTATATCTTTGTATCTACAGAGATATCTGATACTACTTCTTTCTCTTCCTAGTAGTAATATTTCCCCACTCTGCTGAAACAGATGCTGACAGTAGAGTATCAGCCAGTAAAGATCTGAGGCCCTCAAGGGTAAGGTCCCCCCAAGTCTTTTCATCTTCAGTAACATGTTTTGGTATGCACCAGTATGTAGGTGACTGATTTCCATTTTGCCTCTGCTATAGATATCTCTCACTCTCCTTGGCTTTCTCCTTAAGCCCCTTCCCATTTCTTTGTTTTTCTGTTTCCAATTTATTCATCATCAAGAAGGGCCTGAGAATTATCCAGTAGCTCTAAAATCAAGGTCTGAGAAGATGCTCCCAATTATTTCTATCCTATGACCTCCTCAGGTGCTTTCCATTACTGAAAAAAGCTAACATTTTTGACTTTTCATTCCAACCTGGAAAGAAAAATTATAAATCTGAAATTTTCTGCTAGAGAATTAAGAAGGAAAGTTTAAATCCCAAAAATCATATTTTCAAAGGGAAGCTCCCAGTCTGGATATTTTTAGCCTCAACTTAATTAAGTCTGTCTCCTTATTCAGTTCTTACTTTCTTCACTGAACTTACTTGAAGAAATATTGGGCTAAGAGGGTTTATTTTACCAGCGTGTTCTATAACACTTGCTAATTTTGGTCAAATAGCTTTCCTCCAGATCATGTGTGGGTAGCTGGTATAACCAGCAGGGTACATATTGTAACTATCAATTTTGAAGCGAGTGCAAGTTTTTGCTGTTATGATGTCTGTTTGGCAAATGGTTTCTGGTCATAAACTATGCAGTAAAAGATGGAATTGCCTTCTGTGTTTGTGCAATTAAAAACTAATTATGAGACTTTAAAAGTTGTTGTTGTAATGCCAGTAATGACCTTCTGTGCATATTCCAGCAATGAGTATTTTCCCTGTATTCCTTTTTATTTGAACAAAATGATTTTGTTCTTCTTAATGTCTTTTCTGTGGCAAAGGTAAGGAATTCTAGACGCATCTCTGGTGTAAACAAATGTATGAAAATAAGGAACAAATTTCTTTCAGTGAGTTTGAAGAGCTTTCATCCAGCTAATAGAAAATATGGAGATGAAGCTGTAGGAAGAGCACTACAGGTTGGAAAGTGATTTTGTTCTGTGCATATGTTAAAGAAAGCAATATGAATGCATATTTCTATATGCTCAGGAGCAAGAAGGAGGGGATTTTATGTTGTGGACAGTTGAACACAAACTTCTTAACTATTTTCTGTGTCTGAGCTATAACTGGTGGAGTGCTGCCCTGGGGCTCTGAGGGAGCCAACCCCATGGAGACAGTACAATCATCACCTTGCTTCACCTTTGTCCTGGCCTTCTAAAGTTTCCTGAGTGAGCAACAGCTGAATATGAGAGTAAACTCTGCTTGTGCCAAGGCTTGACAAGCATCATCTTCCCACAGCACCCTAAATAGGGACCTCATTGCCAAAGCACCTCCAACCTCCTTTCTTCTTCCCTTCCTTTCCTGTCTAGTCTACTGTCTGTACCTGCAGTCCTCAGGGGAGACAATTGTTGTGACATCCATAGGTGAAATAAATAATTATAAGACCTTGTAACTTGTATTGTTCATGTTTCTCAAAACATTTCAGCAGTGTCTGTAAGTTGGCATCTCATTTTTCCGAAGCAGACATATCTGAGGCAAAAAGGAAAAATAAGGACTGTAGTTCAGTATTTGTTCAAGACTTCAGATGTCTCACTGGGTCTTAACCAGGCTTTAAACATTTAGTCTTAACTGGTTGCATGTACTATCCCTGTCATTAAGGGCCACCTGAGAGAGCAATTCTTAACGAAGACTGAGTAAGGAATCATTGCACCCAACTTCACACATCTCCATTTGGACTAGTTTCCTTTTGAGTTCGGTTTCCATGTTTCCTTTTGAGGCTGTAGAGAAAAGTAACATACAATTCATTATGTCTACTGCAGCATGAGATAGACTACCCCTATTGTTCTCCTTTGATCATAAAGATTATTCAGTGGCAACTGGCTTGACAATTTATAACTGTATTTTAAGAGTTGATTTTCATCCACTGTGATAAATGCCACTGTTCTCTGAGGTTAGTTCTAATACATCAAAGAGTCTGTTTGCTGGCCTGTGATGTACATCTGTACAGGTTCTGAATCAGCTGCAGGGTACAAAAGAGACTAGTATTTCTGGGGTGTAACTTGTAGTTCTTACGGATTCAGCTAACGTTGTAACTTAAAAGTTCTACAAAGTTGTTGACTGTGACCTTTTGTCATCCAGGACTTGTGAAAGAGGATGAGGAAGCAAGAGGAAAGGACCCCGCTGTGATAGGGGGGTTGGAACTTGATGATCCCAGGGGTGCCTTCCAACCCAAGCTATTCTATGATTCTACGATTTTTGTGGTCCTGGCATTCCTCAGCATTACAGTGAGTTTTAGAGCCAATTAGCTTTGGCTAAGGAGGACGAATAATAGGAAAAATGAACTACTGTACAAGAAATTTATTTGCTGTGACTACTGAAAGCCACATCTTCCCACCCATCATATTATGGTGTGATCTCTGAAGTGAGACAGGCTTTTCCAAACTTATGCCATCATCAATCCCAGGTGAAAAATGAAACTTCCTCACTATTATTCACATTACCAGTAGCAGCCTTCAGTCCTGCTGCCTGTTTTGGAAAATAGCTTTTGTTGGATATGAGCTCTATCTAGCAGTATGAATCTGACATATTCCTGTTTAATTTATTATTTTATAATTTTGTGTGATAAAATTGAGTGCTTTTCACTTACTACCTTTTTCAGTAAATGAGACCTAAGCCACGTCTCTTAATTAAGCAGTACAGAAAGTGGCTTGTAACTCTGTAAGACACCTCATCTCTGCACAGCCTGCTATGTGAGGCTGGGATGACTTATGGTCACCCCAACCTTGCCCATGCAGCCACTGGGATATGTGTCTTCCCAGAATAGTTAATCTCAAATTCCATCTGAGCCCCTCCTTATAGTAGCACTAGAACTATGCAGTCATGCCTCAAAGGGCCATTTTGATTTAACTAGAGAAACAGAGAGATAAAATGTAATCACTCCTTCCTGATTTAAAAAAAAAAAAAAAAAGAAGACCTTTCTGAAATAATTTTAATGGAATGGGAGGATGAGTATGCTTGAAGAATAATATCCATTTGGCTAAATTAATTATTGAGATAAAAAGTTCTGATGGAGCCAAAATAAGCAAAAACCCAAAGCCTACTCAGTCTGTGAAAAGATACTCACTGTTTTTGATTAATTTGGATGAAGCCTTAAACTTAAACTGTATGCAAAACTACTCTACTACATATCCACAGTTAGGAGGCTGCTCCTGGGGCTATTCTCCATCATGTGGCTGCTTTCTGCCATGAATCCCATAAACGCTACACTTCTAATATGGTGTCACTCTGGAGGATTCCATAGATCCCCGTGCTTCCTGCCAGCAGAAGTAATTCTCCAAATTTCAATTGTACCACTCTTCTACAATACGAGTACACCACAGGTATTAGAACCAATGTGGTTGTTTTATTCACTATAGAAGGAGAAAAACATTCACAGAAAAAGAATTCAATACAGAATCATTAAAGGTAGGCATGAAAGAGAGCTCAAGAGATTACCTGATATATCCTCTTGCCTCTTCCTGTGCAGGGGCAGCATTAACTCTGTCTCAGCTGTGGATGGATGAAATCATATCCATTTCCAAGGGACTTTTTATATATGCACATTTTCTTGTTTTTTTCAATCTTTTATTCTTCTGTTAATTTCAGCCTATTAAATTCTGTTAAAAAAATAAATAAATGTGATAGGAAGGAAAAAGTCCAGAAAAAAAAGAAAGGGTTACCCAGAGAAAGTGCACTTCTCTAAACGTTATCTGTTGAATACAAGTGGAAGGAAAGATGTGCCATGTTCTGCCTAGAAATAATTGATATTTCTGTACTGGCTATTTTCAGAAACACATCTGTGAAAAATGGACATGCTCTGCAGTTCCTGGTATTCAATCCAATCTCATGGAGAAGTCTTGACTTCAGTAACAGATTACTTGTGCGACATTTCCTCAAAGAATTCTGATGAAAGATCCAAATGTATTTCTGATGAGTTTTATATGTATTCTCTACTGTCTGCATTGTTGTAAATGCCAAATTTCTGTGCACAGGTTATTAGCAATATAAAATACACACTGGCATAGTTCTCTAATGCACTGAACAATTTACTAGTGTGATTTATGAGGGAAAATTTTGTTTTCATCGGCTGTTACTGTGTTTGACAGTGCCTTTGAAATACTCTGAACCTCATTAGCTATGAAGCATTGTGCTTTATCTACTTTTAAAATATCTAGACAGACATCTATCTAGACAGTGCTGAGAATAGAAAGAGACGGGACAAGATTACACTCATTTACTTACATAGGCAACTTTACTGCTTCATGCAGATCCGTAACCATTTGAACACGAACATGACGAGGATATGATGAAAAGCAGGGCTCTTCTATGCTGGTACATTAACTGAAAAAAACCCCAGACTTCTTTTCTTCTCATACTGTGTCCTACCACTATGAGAGAAAATACTGAAAAATGTTGCTTCTGTTCCCACTCTCTCCAGTCATTTGAGTTTCATGGATTTGAATCCTCACTGCAATACTTCCACAGGGTAATAATTCCCTGCTATCCAAATTCTCAAGGATATTTGATATCTACAACCCTCTAGGCAATGCAGGCTGCCATTACGTGTTATTGCCTCTCCCACAGTTTATCCACTTAACCAGATCTCTCAGAACTTATATTTTTTCTACCACTGAGCATTTCCAAACCTACATAGAGTGCCCTGCAGCAACCTGCGTAGGCTACTGAGCCATCAGATAAGAATAGAGGCAACAAAGCTTTATTTCCTAAAAGTGCAAAGTACTTGGTTATATAAATGTAGTGAGATGGAGGAATGTGAGGAGAAAGGATGGGAGCAGTGGGGCACTGGATGCAGAATGGATACCTAAGTAGATGGCCTAGAGTGAAATAGAAGATAAAGGCCTGTCTAGGAAATGCCTGAGACTCATTAGCCAGATATATTCATAAATTGCCTTCACTCTGAGATT